TGTCTCTCCAACAGACAGCTTAAACCGTGTTGAAAATGTCCAGACCAATGAAATTTAAATGCACACTGTCCTTCCTCATCAAACACATGTTGTCACCCTCCAGCTCCACATGCCTAACTACCCACCCACCCAGACGATACCCTGGAGACTGCCATGTGATGGATCGCCTGGCACCCTTACTGGGTACCCCTGTCAATAACTGCTTCCCAGTAATCCTTGAGTACCATAAGCACTGCATCGGACACCATAACCACAGCTTGGTTGGGGTCTCGCTGTCCTACACCCACCCTGGACCCAAGACCAGGAGCTAACTTCCAGTGGGTAGACCTCTACTAGTCCAGAGAGTATAGCAGGTATAGCTGTGTAGCTCTTACAAGAGCTAGTGATTATAGTCAGTATAGTAATCCAAAGCAGGTATAGCTGGTATAGCTGTTCCCTACAATCACGAGACCAGGCTGCGTGTTGAGGGTGAAGTGAACTGATCATAATGGGACCACACTTGGTCTTTTATGACAATCCCCATGCAAGGGGTACTCCCACCTGGACCTGATGGAAGACTACAGTACAAAGTTACAGACCAATGACAAAGTTTGATCAAGTACAGGACACTCCCATACATAATCATACAATCCCTCCCCTCCATCTGGGAGATAATTGAGTCAAGAACTGTACTAACTCAATTATCTCCAGACACATAAAACACACATTTTTATAAAACCCCAAAAGTACCTTTAAAACATACAAACCCCCCACAAAGTTACAACCCCGATAGCCCCGATCTGGGTGAACAACATATCCAAAAATCACCCAGATTGGTTCAGGGGTTAAGGAATTTCCTGGAAGTCATAGTTTTGGCCGACCGCACGCATGGTCCCATGCCCAAAACAGTTCCATAGAATCACAGCTAGGTGCCGCTGGGGAGCGACCGGGAACCGCAAAGTTTTCATGACGAAAATAGTTCCAGGGCATTCACAGCTAAGTCTCCCTGAACTCTATTCGTGGTTTTGGTGCATGCAAACAGCCGCCAGTGAGCTAGCGTTCGTT